GGCTCCCTCCCTCCCTCGCACACAGCGACTGGAGACGGACGGGGAGCAACGCGCTGGGAAGAGCAGAGACCACCGACAACAGCCCCGCGCTCTCCCACACTCGCTCACACTCGGCGCTTTCCTCTCCCCCCACCTCCTCCTCCTTCCACCCCCTCCACTAACACCATCTCCTCCTCCTCCTCCTCTCTGCAACAAGAAAAAAAAGCCATTTACAGGTATATATATTTTTTTGATCAGCATATTTATTTACCCCATCCCCCATCTCCAACAGTTTGTTTACAAGTATTAAAGTTGTAATTGGGAGCTGCCAAGACACATCTGGATTTGTGTTTCTTTGTGTTAAGGGTGATGTGCAACTAATTAAAGGCAGACTGGCACCGTCTGCAAATTCTAAGGCTCCCCAAATAAAAAGAGACTGGTAAGTGATTGTTCTTTCTCTTTCTCTGGCTTTTCTCTCTTTCTCTCTCTCTTAAATGTTTGCTGTCCTGTGGGATTGTAAAAGTAGATTATTAATGCTGGACTCTGGCAATAAAAACCGTGGCCGTATTAATTTATTAATTAATCTGCACCCGCCCCTCCTCCTGAATGTTAAATATGACCTTTGATCTCTGTGTCTCTGGTAGACCAGACATACAATATTAGGAATGCACATTCACATTGTTTAAGGCAAAGCGGGATCATGAAGTATGGATATCTAATTTAGCTTTGGCATAGAACTATAGTTATTGCTGTGTGCTTTATTTTGTTGCTAAATAAAATCCGAACAATAGCAGTGGCTTAGGTGCCTTTTCCATGCTCCAGAGATGCATTGATTAAACAATAATGACCTGGACCCTGGGCACAATCATTTCCTACAGTTTCTGTTGGCATTAAACCTTGAGGTGGGAAAGAGGAGGTGATGGCAGTCAGAGAAGCAAGGACAGCCAGTTTGGAAACACCACTCTTAGAGTCTCAAAAGGAACATAAAATTCTTTCTTTATTTGGAACAAGGTCAGAAGACTGAAATGTTGAAAATCTTCCCTCCACTCAGTTTGATGATTACCTATTGATGGTTGGCATAACTAGTTTTTAGTGAGTGGCAGCTGTGGTCTTGCAGTTTCACAGAAACTGAAGCAATATGCATATTCTTGCCGTATCTTCCCCCAGCCAGCTGCAAATGTCAAGAATATTTAGCCAGGAGGATTTGGGGGCACCTTTGTATTGTCATCAGACCTCCGAAGGGGGCAGTTTTCCCTAATGGGAAACCACAGAGGTGGTTCCTGAGTGATTAGGGGCTTGCTGCGATGGAAGGATGCCTGCTAGCTTCTAATCCAGCCCAGGGAGGCTCCTTATCTTGATTTACTTTGCCTAATAGGGATTTGTTTACATAAACCCATTTTTTTAGGGCATCAGTAGGTCTTGAAGTTTTGGCACTTGGAGTTTGGGCATAAATGGTTCATTAATCTAATTATAAGCATAATTACTATAATTGATATCCAGTTTAAACTCTGAATATTTGAGACACAGACTACTGGGGCCATGGTTAAATTCCCTGAACTCCTAATTCCAGACCAATCTGTGGGCTTCAGAAGCTGTCACAGGAAAAAAAAAAAAAAAAAAAAAAAAAGAAGAAGAAGAAAGAAAAAGAAAAGCTGGAAACAAAGAAACTGGAATTTTAGGTGAATATACATGTTTATATCTTTGCTTTACTACTTAAAAGGCTGTGGTGTACTTCTCTCTCTGTAATAAACAGCTAAAATACCTCTTCCTAAAGCTTAGTAATGACCTATAAGCAAAGAGATGAATGCAAATACCCAGTTAACATTAAACTTTCCTCTTAAAAAAAATTTTATCTTAATGGTTCTTTGGGTAAAAAAAAAAAAAAAATACCTGAAGGGATTCCTCCTCCCTGTTCAGTCTTTCCATTCTAAACAAAAAAAAAATCAGTGTTGGTGGAAGATTTTTCTTAAATAGGAAGAAAAAGGGAAAAGAAAAAAAAAAGACCCCTGCTTTCCTCCTGTCTTGGGAGAGAACAATCTCCATTAACATGATTGGGGATATTCTTACAGAGTCTGCAGACACTTGGTTCAGAGCCTGTGACATTGCTTGTATTTTTTTTTTAAATATATATATCTAGTCCATCTTTCTTTTTCTCCTTTCTTTTAAACAAGTAGCACGCCACCCTCTTGCCCCCACCAATCCCCACCACCAAATGGCTTGTACAATTGAGACCTGTCCTTGGTCCATTGAATTAAGACCCTAACAGAGCCAGCTGTGCTGGGATTCAAACTAATGACCGCAGACACAGAAGGACACTGTGGCAGCTGGTAGTTCTTTTCTCCTGCCTCTTTAGTTCAGATTGTATGTGGGCAGTCTCTTAGCTCTCAGTTGTATTGTGTTTGCTTACAGTTTATACTCCCATGTATTGTAGACTTTCCCAGTACTTCATTTGCTAATTTCCTGTTCATTTTCCTCATAGGGCCATTGCTGTTTTCTACTTTACAGCATTTGCATGCCCAGGCAGCACTTGTTCACACATTTCATAATGTTTAAATGCCCTGTGCTTATAGGTAGTATCGCCCTCCCACCCCTGATTTGCATGTCTTTAGCACTCCAATTGCCCTTTTCCCTTGGCGTTTGTCAACCCCCCCCCTCCCCGCTTCCCTCTTTCCCTGGGTACCCTGGCTATTAATACATTTTTCTCAGGAGGGTTCAAGAATAGGAGGGAGGAGCTGTACGGTGTGCTGCGGGGAGGGAGGGAGCAGGGGTTGGGAGTGTTGGGGGGTAGATGGGGGGGGTCACATCTTTGATTGTTATGCAAAGGACCCGAGCGCAGAACGCGGGAGCTTTTGGTTGTGTCTGCTTGGGTAGCGGGGGCTGCTGTTTATTTTTAATCTTTCTCCTCTTGCAGCTCATTGGAATGACTTTCTTTATTTTAGTTATAACAGTTGGAGGATAATGCAAAGGAAGACGCTGCCTGGGAATTCACCGTCTGTGGACATGCACCCAAGAGAGGACTAGAGCAGCTCTCACCTTGCTGTCCCCACCCGGACCCCCTTTTCCCTCCC